GTTGTTTTTTTGGCTTTTTTTGTAAGCTTAATCCCCACACATTCACTCTTCACACACAGACTATTTCACCTGCTCCAGCGGTCGCAGCTCGTTGCAAGTCCAGCTCACCCCTCGTCTCCAAAGCACAGCCCACAGAGCTGCTGTTGTGTCAGCATGACCTGTGCTGAGCCCCAGTGCACAGGTTTGAGTAAACTTGTCCAAATAATAACGTCCAAATAATCCACTGGGAAGCAGAAACCAGGTGGGTCCATCTGTACAGAAGGAGGTGACCACACACGGCTCTTCTGGGAGTCCCAGCCCGGCCTTGCTTCAAGTCTTCTTGTATAAACTGGGCTTTTCACAAACCAACAGCTTTAAACACAAAGCAGGGAGGGGAAGCCAAATCTGAGGCTCAGTCTCTCCCCTCTTAAATAAGCCTGGCTGCTCAAGAGAGGAATTAAATCCTTCCCCTCTACCCAACCTTCCAAAGAGTAATCACAGGCTGTGAAATAAAGGCACATTTCGATTCAACTAAGGCACAGTTCAGTTCAATTAAGGCACCTTTCAGTCCAATTAAAGCGCATTCCAGTCAAACAAAGGCACAAAAACACGGTCCACACCAAAGCACAGGCCCTATTTTGGGTTCCCTCTCCCCCAAAACCAGTGGGTGCGTTCATTCTATGGCTGGTAAATTCAACCAAGTGTTTTCTATTCATGTCCAAGGACACCCAAAAGGATAAACAAGTCCCGTGGCTGCACGTGTTTACTTTCTGATAAACAACCAAGTGGCAACACCACAGATCCAGCTTCCTCCTGCTGCAGTGCTGCAGTCCTCAAGGTCACCTGGCACTGTGCCCTGGGGGGAGCAATGCCCCATCTCCTGCTTCCCACTGCCTGGTGGAGAGGAGCAAAGGGAAGGAGAAGGTGCTGAGGGGAAGGAAAGGACCAGCAGTGCCTCACAAACCCTCTGCAGGCTCTCTCAGGAGCCTTTCCTTTCAAAGCAAGCCACTTTTAAGGCATTTTCTAGCAAACACAAGAAGTTAAGAGACAAACTATTTCCCTCACCTGCCACAGCCCTGGTTTCAGGCTTGCCCAGTGTGATGGGAAAGGTGGAGGGTTTGGCAGAGGAGTGAGGAAGAGCTGTGACTGGCAGGGAAGTCACAGGTCAGTGTGTGCACCTGGGAACACCTCACAGCTTTAGTTCACATCAGGCTGGCAGAGCTGATGCCCATGGTCTGCTCAGGGGGTGAAGGAAGCAGCTGAGCAGCCATCCCACCTCCCGTGTCTCAGGAGACACACCAAGAGGCCAAAAATTAAATTAACCCCTTTACCTGAACCTTCTCCTCACAAGGCAGCAGGAGGTGACACCAAGGGTCAGCAGGGAGAAGGCAGATCTGGCTACTGCAAACACCATGGGTGGAGCACACAGGTCTTTTGGGGACCAACCCAGCCACTTAAACAGAGATCTGGGTCCCTAGAGAGGGATTTGGGTCTCTAGAGCCTCAGTATCAGCACCAACACAGAGACACCACTCAGTTATTCCCTACCCAAATTAACTCAGGCAGTGCCAGGAAGCAAGAACTGTACAGCAGATCCCCAAAGCAGGGAAAGGGCTGGGCCACTGAGGCTGTTGGAGCTCAACATGATTTACAGAAATCACAGAGGCACGAGTCATCTGATACTTCCTTGTCCATCTTCTCCTCCCTGGGCACACACTCCGCCTCCCAAGTTCATTAGCTCCACAGTTCTCCTCCTTGATGTTCTACATTGTCCAAAAAAACCCCAAAATATCCGGTGAAATTCAGGCAGCAGGAGGAATTTGGCTTCAATAAAGGATCAGGGTAGATTGAGGGGGGGGAAAAAAAAGTGGCCTAGCACATTCCATACGGGAAGAGGAGGAATGTGACTGCAGCAAAGCCCTGGAATGCCTGCCTGCTGCTTGGGTCCTTTAACAATACACCTGAAGCAGAGGTGCCCCAGACGAGTCAGTCTCTGTGTCTTGGAAAGAGGAATCTCTGCTTGTTGGAGAGCCTTGGAGAGAAGAGAGAAGAGATGGTGACATTAGCCAGGGTGAAGCACAGCAGTGGAGCACCTGGCAGGTGGGGAAGGAGTTGCCACAAAAGGCTTTGTGTATCATGAGGGAGGAGAAAGCCACAAAAAGCCCACAGGCAGGGAACAACCCTGCCTGTATTGTAGCCATCTCCTAGGACAGATCTGTTATTATGCAGGTGGAAACTTGTCCTTTAGCCCTGGGCTGCTTTTTGGGAGGATCAGAGCTCAGGGGGACAGCCCATCACTCTCCCCTGCTTCCCTTTTGCACAGTTCCTTTTGTTCCCAAGTCTCACCCAGCTGTGACCTTCGGCAGTCACGCCCCAAATACAGCCCCAAACTTTGTCAAGGCACACAGAGACTGAAAGCTCCCAGGACAAATACTGTGGAAGGACAGAGAATGCCCCATACTTGGATTTCAATCCTTTTCAGAAGGACCCACCAACCCAGGGAGTCTCCTGAGCTCCCGTCGCTCCCGAAGCCCAAGAGAACTGAGGGGAATCTGAAGGGCAGGGTCAGCTCAGCCTTTGTGGAGGGTGACAACTGGAGGCACGTGAAATAGGGGAGGTTCAGGGCATCCCCCTCACTGCTGTGATGCCCCTGCAGCCCAGGCCCCCCTCCAGGTCCGTTACCTGCGCTGCTGTGCCGCCTCATATTCCGGGCCATCACATCTGCCGGCGTTTCTTCCGATATTTGCACGGCCAAATCTGGAACGAAAAACCAGGAGGGCCTGAGACAGGAAAGGATGACTCAGCAGCAAGGAGCCCTGTCAGGGAACACAGGGATCTCCACGAGGCACCACCCTCAGGGAACAGGAGAGGTTGAGTCTGGTTCTTCCCACTGCTTCCACCATTTCCCGGTAACCTGAGCTGTGTGGTCCTTAAACACCAGGAAGGAACAGCAGCCTCCCTCCTAACCTGGGAAGCACAACACACACTTGGTTTCCTCTGTTACTTCTGGATGTCTCCTTGCCCCCCACACCCAGCTTTCCAAGGTCTTTCTACAACAAACTCTCTTACAACCTGTTCTGGAGGTCGGGCACTTCAGGCTGCTCCGGCGAGCAGGAAGCAGCCCTGGCACAACCAGGAGGCACTGGCACTGTGGGACAGCCCTTCCCTTGTCTTTGCAGGGATATTTGCCATGTGGAGGAGGTCTCAGCTCGGAGGAGATGCTGTCACAGTAGTCTAAGGGTGGTATTAGACAGGTAGCACACGGGACAGAGCCAGCTGAGTAACTGGACATCCCCTGGCACAAGCAGCTCGTCTGGTCATACCAGTTCAGTTTGACTCACGGTCTTTGTGCCTCGCTTAGAGGTGCAGAGGAAAGGCAGAATCACTGCAGCAGCAGCATAAGCCCTTCTATTGCTCAGCACAAACCTCACTGGCAGGGAAAGATACGCTCAAGAAAGGCACCACACAGCGAGGGTGAGAGGCAGAGGTCTCCATAAGGACCTCCAGGAAAGCAAATTAACCCATACATTTTAAGCCTTGTAAAATAACAAATTGAGAGCACAGCTGCTGCAGCAATGCAGGTACAGATGTACTTTATCAGAGGCAATGATATGTTCCATGGATCAAAATACATACACATACCTACACAGTTCTGTATTCATCTGTGCTGCTAAAGAAAATGAGCTAAAGCCTACCCTGAGGACAGACAACAACAGCTCTCAACCCCGCTCCACAGCCACATCTCCATGGCTTGGGTAAAACAACCCAGCAAAGCAGCAGCACCCAGGGACCCCACATACCATCCTGGCTCATGACCATGGACTCCAGCATCGTCTCGTTGCCGCTGTCGGGCGCGTTGCCCCGGCTGGACTTCTCCTCGTGGCTCTGGCTGGCTGGGGTGGAAATGTGGGGCCGGACCCTGCTTTTGCGGGTGCTGATGCGGATGATGCCTCGGACCAGCCTGCACTCGGCGTCCTGCTCGTCCAGGTTGTAGTCCTGAGTTATGCTGTTGATGAGGTCCGAGATCTTGTTGGTCTTCTCCAGGAAGACGGTGTCCGAGGTGCACTTGGCCAGCTCGTCGATCTGGTGGACGCTGAAGAGCTCCGTCAGCTTCTTGAAGATCAGGACATCAATCTGCCTGCTGGACATGGAGCCATTCAGCTCACTGATGTCCACATCAGACTCGTGGAAGGAATAATACTCCTCCGAGCTCCGGTGGCTGCTGGGGAGCGGCGGCTTTTCTATGCTGTTCCTGAAGGGCTTCTCCAGCAGCTCCTTGCAGCAGGAATCCGATTCCAGCTGGTGGCTGGGGCTCCTGTTTTGGTAGACAGGGATGCCCTTCAGCTTCACATCCGGGTAACTGAAACTGCTGCCCACGCTGGACTTTTTTATCTGGTTCCCGTTCTTCTCAGCGGGAGAGACGTTGGTGGGGCTGTTTGGCAGCCGCCCGTTATAGTCTCCGTTCTTTCCATCGTCAGTGGAGGTCTCGGCGGGCCCCGGGTAGGGGACACAGACACTGCAGTCCTGGAAGCAGCCCCCACAGGTCACTATACAACAGAAAACAGCCTTGTACGTGTTCCAGGCCTGAGACAGAGAGGAACAGCAAAAGCTCTGGTTTGGGGGAGCCTCTGCTGTGCCAGAGATAAAGGTAATTGTCTCTGCCTCTCTGCCGTTGGAGTCTTTGAGCTCAGCTTTGCGCCCTTTCCTGTCCCGCATCTGCTGGGCTCGGCTGCGGCTGGGCTTGATCTCCGGCGTGGAGCCACTGAACACCTCCAAGCTGACATCTGTGTCCTTGGGCGCCCGGGTCCGCAGGGGCACGGCCTCCTGGCAGGACTGGTTCAGCTGGCGGTGGCTGTTCAGGTCCTGGGGGAGTCGTGTTTTCCGGCCCAGCATGGCTCAGCACTCGGGCACCTGCGGAACAGGGAGGGCTCAAGTCACAGCTTTCGTCACCAGCCCCACCTCAGCGAGCTGCCCATCAGCACAGAGGGGCCTGGCAGTCGAACTCAGTGACTCTCAGATCCAACATTTCGGTTTTCTCAGGGATGTCTCTCCTTGGGACTCATGCTGTTCCCACTTGTGGCACAGAGGGGGAATCCAGCCCCTGTTTCGGGGCTCTCCGACTACTCAAGCTTTGCTTCCTTTTGGTAGACACTCAAACCAGAAGAAATATACTATAAAAGGACTATTTTAAGACATCAAAATCCTTGTAACCTTCAGAAGAGGTTTCCTCGAAGCAGCTGGGAGTCAGGCTCCAGAGCAACAAACTCACAGCACAGCTGGAGGTGGAGCTTGGAGCTGACAGGCTCCAAAGGGAAAGTATCTTTTTTTAAACAACTCCCCTTTGTCTCGCATTCCTTAGGATTAGGCTGGGCCCTGACAGCACTTATCCATTTCAAAACACATCTGTGCCCAGGAGGAGATGACAAGCAATCCATCATTATGCAAGCTGCCAATTCAGACTCCACATTATTGGGTGCTATTTAAATTCGGGGGATTTAGCAATGCTGGCATTACTAACACTAATGATTTTTGCCAGTCATGCTAAGGTTGGGTCGTGTCAAACACTTCCCTGTGAAAACCCGATGTCTTCATCTGGATCAAGGAAAAGGTCTTGTCAACAAGTTGGTCTCAAATCACTCCTCAAGGGAGCAAAACCTTTACAAGCCCTACTACAGAGATCCCACATCAGACTCTGCTCAACTGTTTGCCTTGTTACCAACACGACTGCTCCAGGTCTGCACGCAGGAGTAAACTGCTTTTACAGCATCCACTGTCACAGTTTATCTCCACAGAGCCAACAATCAGAGCTTGGCATGTTAATTCTCCCTGTTATTAATCTTTTTATTATTAAAGCTCGGCACTGGGCGATGCTGAGTCAGGTCAAGGCTGTCACTCTCCACTTCTATTGCTGCTGCCTTTATCCCAGGCTGTGGTGGGCCCCTAAATTCTCCATGGTTTCCAAGCTTCTTGGCTAACACTGCTTTCACCCCCAAGAGATCCTTTTAAACACTAATTAGGGTAATTAATAAGCAATGAGAGCCCAGCCATAGCTTAAACGTTTTAATACTGTCCTTGTTGCTCTGCTATAGACTTTCTATAGGGCACCTCAAGCATGAATAAATAAATCTGTCTGACCTTGTTAGAGCATTGCCTCTTTATCCCCTGTTTTTTTAAACAAATAGAAACATTTTCTCCACAAAGGAACAGGCCCAGACTGAAAGCCAGGCACTTACAGCACATCGCTGCTTTCCAGGAATAGTTTGGCTCTGTTACCTTATAAAAATTCATCCCAGGAGCTTCCTCTGCACATTCCTGGGCAATATGTTAAATAAAAAGCCCCAGATGCTGCAACTTCAGTGCTGAGCAGGCAGAGCTCCCTCACCTCAGCATCAGTGGAGAGTTTTGATTGCTTTCTCTTCTGAACAACAAAGTGTTTTTCCTCAGCTTCATCATTTGTTCAAAATTTAAAAACAGGCCAAAAACATTTGAGCTGCACTGAGGACAGAGCGGATTACTGGGAAGTTTCTCTTCATCCTGAGGCCTCAGGAAGAGATCCAACATCTGCACTGCTCACTTGTATCACAGCAACACAACACTCTGTGTTCTCTGTGCCAACAGCAACACTCACTTATATAACAATACACGATGTTCTGGAATTTCAGAGCATCTTGGACACAAGGAAGAGTGTGAAAAAGAGCTGCAGGGACACGTGTCAGAGACAGGGACCTGTCAGAGTCCTGGGCTCGCCCCTTCCCATCACAGGTCATGTTTCTGCAACCACTGGATCACAGGGAAAAGTCCCCTGGGAGCATGGACAAGACACAGCTCCTCAATCCAGCAGCTTCTCTAGCACAGGCAACAGGTTGGCCTGAAACCCACAGCCATAAACAAGAGCTCAGACCAAAATCCACATCCAAGTGATACTCACAGGGTCGTGACTCTCTCGTTGCTTCCTCTGCTGTCACGCAGGCGCCGTGTGAGACTGGAGAAGGTCCCTCCAAAGAGCCTCAGCATCTGCTCCAGAGCAGCAAGGAAGGATTCAAAAAGGGTTTGCACCTCTAAGAGTTAGCCCGGGTCTAAGATCTTCATTGTTCACAGGACAGGATTTCTTTGTGAAGTTCTAAAAAAAAAAAAAAAAAAAAAAGCTAAATTAAGTTGTGAACCTCCTTAATTTACACATGGGTTTGACAATAACAGTATTGCTGGAAGCCAGGGAATGTCTCCTGAGTTCAGGGTTTACACAGAGATACAACTTGTCTTAACTCTGTGGAATTTTCTAAGCAGCTTTGCCAGGAGCTGAAAGCTGCCCTGTAAAGCTCCTGTTCTGTCTGCTGACACCAGGCAGTGATGGAGATCCTGGCCCAGAGTAACGTGGATCCAGCATCTTCCCTGTGCTGCTGGATCCTCCCTCTCAACTATTTGGGATCTAAACAGCCCAGCCAAGGAACTGCCTCTCACCAAATGCCTCCCTGTGCCCCTGGCCCAAAACCAGCTGAGAGCCAAGACTCCACCACTCCACAGGGAAACAAAATTTGGCCCTTCTTTCTCCAAAATGAAGGAGAAGGAAGGGGGAGACCTGCCTGGGCACTAAACAGAGCTCCCTCTGCCTACCCTGGGCCCCCCGACGTCCTCCGAAGAGGGGATTTTTGGGAAGAGGAGAAGCTGGCAGC